TGAACTCAAGAAACGAACTAATATCGGCATGTAGGCACAGGAAAAAATTCCTGCTCTGTAGCCAGTAGTCAGATTACAAACATATATTTACGCTTTCCTAATGACGTCAAACATTTGTATATAACAGCTCAAGTTACCTATAGGTTATAACATCATGTAAATACGCGATATCACCATTCACCTGATGAGTGTGGCAAGCCTAGCTTGCCATACGAAACAAATGTGTTGTGAATAAATGTTTTACATATACATATATATATATATATATATATATATATATATATATATATATATATATATATATATATATATATATATATATATATATATATATATATACCAGTTTGCTCAAATTACACTTGAAACCATGAATGCTGTTTTGAATACTTACACTAGGAGAGCAAAACAAATGCATGTAATTTTTGGGTTCCATCACAAACTTTTTATTTCCAGGACTAGGACAGACCTCCTAAGAAAACGTTTCAGTTATAGTGGGGCTCAAATATGGAATCAAATACCATGACATGCAGACGAGATCAGAAGTTCGTTATCTTATGAATCGTTTTGCAAACAATTTAAAGCTTTCATCCTTGATCTTTGTTTGCAGTTGCCTAGGTTAAATATATTGTTTTATACTTAATATGTCAGTTATTACATTTTGTAAATAATTATATTTTGTATAGTAATCTTTAAATACGTTTAGTATATATCAGTGTTGTTGACATTAGCACACTTCTTTTGGAAATCACTGAAGTATGTATGTTGAAAATATTGTATGCATGGTGTGTTTAAATGTGGTGGATCATCGTTTATTCACTTCCTATTTTAAACTCTTTTTTTTTTCAGTTCCCTTCAAAGTTTGTGGAAAGCATATTGATTACCTAGTGAGGTACACGTTCAACTCAACCGTTAATCATGCCGTGTTTAAAGACGCAGAATACACGCTTTCGCTGTTACACGGTCGACTCGAAGCGATCAACTCGTCAAAATGCAACGATCCAATTAACCTGATGATTACTCGAACATTACGTAATGACAGTGCAAGCAACAAAGAGTATGTCATCACTGCTAACTATGCAATCACAATTGGAATCAAACAAGTATATTGGTCTAATTACAGCGTATTAAATAGCATCCGAGGGAAAATTGAGGAATGCTCGGGTCAAGTAGTAAACGACATTGTTGCAACTGGAAGCTTTGAGAGTGGGCTGGCCCTAAATATATCTGGCAAAATATTCGAGGCGGAGTTCGACACAATAAACGACGAGCGGAAAAACCAATACTGCGATTCAGACCACTATAGATGTCCGCCAGGTTCAAAAGAAGTAAGCAGGATGTGTGGTGAGTAAAGTCATACTAAATAAAAGTACGATACACATACGAAAGAATATGAAGATTTGTTGAAAACCTTCCATATTCAGAAAACAAGATGAGCATGTACAGGCGGCAAACACAAACAACCAAAAGCGAAAAAACAAAAACAGCAAAAGGTATGTCAACAACATCCAAAACAGCAGCAACATTAACATCAATAGCAATAGCAACAACAACTACAACATGCAATAACAGCAATAACATAACAAAGAGAAGGCAAAAAGATTATTGTTTAGAATAATAAACTAAAGACGAGATTAATTGAAGTATATTTGTATTTCAAGAGTGTTCGCGAGGCACGTATTTGGATGAGAATGTCACGGCATGTACTCCATGTCCAAAAGATACATATCAAGAAAACACAGGGATGTTCAACTGTACACAGTGTGAAGAAGGACTTACGACCTTGAACAAAACTGGAATATGGAACAGAAAAGCGTGTGCACCAGGTATATAATACATCCTACATTCAGTGGCGTAGCCAGCTCGATGATTTGGTCCCACTAAGCAAATTCATCAACTCATTATCATTGTTCATTTCTTTAGAAATTGATTGTGTTGATAGTTTATAAGCATGGCAATATTTGCATAGCGGGACTGAATCGCTGGGCTGGCTACGCCACTGCCTACATTTGCTATCAAGTAAAATCGGCATGTGGTGAAGACAGGAACGAAATGGAACGAAACAAAACCACAAAAACGATCGGAACCCCTGGGACACTCAAAACGGAAACAAAATATGTATTTCACTTATTTGGAATGACCAGCCAAACTTGGTATGCAAATTGCCCATTTCACCGTCTATTTACACCTTTGAGATATGTAATATTTTTGTTTCATTGTTACGCTAAGCTGAATGGATTGTTGTGTATAGTACTTAAATATCACTTGAATGAAAAAAAACCCGATCTCATCGGAGCTGACTCTTCCACAGTCCCTCGTTAATATATTTTAGTACAGTAGAATACGCCCAACGCGAGCGACTGGGAACGAGTCAGTCATCGGAGTGTAAGTAGATAATTAGCCTTTCTCACGCAACCTTTTAAGAACAGATATAGTAAGCAGTGAAAATGAAACTTGCTACAACTAGAATTGTAAGTATAATAATTATAAATCGAATTACAGTTAAATATTTGAAAATTTATTTTCACATTGCTTAGATTTTTTAACAACAGCAGTAACAACAACAAGATCAGCAAAAAAAAACAGCGACAACAACAGCGACAATAACAAGACAACAAGAATAACACTAACAACAGCAACAACAGCTGCAACAGCAATAACAGCAGCAATAACAGCAGCAACAGCAAATTCAAACAACATGCATAACAAAAGAGAAGGCAAAAAGAATACTATGTAGAATAATAAACTAAAGACGAGAATAATTGAAGTATTTGTGTTTGAAGAGTGTTCGCGAGGCACGTATTTGGATGTGAATGTCACCACTTGTACTCCATGTCCAAAAGATACATACCAAGAAAACACAGGGATGTTCAACTGTACAAAATGTGAAGAAGGACATACGACCTTGAACAAAACTGGAATATGGAACAGAAAAGCATGTAAACCAGGTATATAATACATCATACATTTCCTATCAAGTAAAATGGGGATGTGGTGAAGTCCGGAACGAAATGGAACGAAACAAAACCACAAGAACCGGAAACGAAACAACTGGGGCCGCCGGGACAGTCAAAACGGAACCAAAATATGCATTTCACTTGTTTGGAATGACCAGCTAAACTTGGTATGCAAATTGCCCATTTCACCGTCTATTTACACTTTTGAGAAAAGTAATATTTTAGTTTAATTGACGCGCCAATCTGCAGATACCTCTAAATATCACTTCCATGGAAAGATGTGTACCTCACAAGAGTGTAAGTAGACGATTCAAACGGCCAATTTTCATACATGTTAAGTTGGTTTATTGCATTTTATCGTGTTAAAACGCATAATAATATAGTTTTTCGCACAAAGGCTTCAAATTGGACTCGTTCTTCGGACTCGTGCAATTTTGATCGTCTTTGGAAATTCATCCGTGCATGCTTTTGCAAATTGTACTCGAAACCATACTGTTACTAGCTGGCTATATACCAGTTATCTGTAACTAAATAACTTTTGGAACTGTAGAAATCAACAATTATCGAACGATGTTAAGTTATTAAGCATGATGTGAAGAATTGACCGACGTTTGTGTTGTCAGTCGAGGCCGAAGGCTCATATCATACGAAAACCGAATATTTACCGTGGTCATAAACATTTTAACTGTAATTGTTTGATTGGAAATCCAAAAATCAGTTTCCCACAACATTCTGTGAAAGGAGTTGTGGTCCTATCTATGGTCTCGGCTCACACAGCCGCGGGATCTCCCCACGATGGCTCATTTTCTTGTATAAAGCCGCTTTCTCATATGAACAGGACTAGCCTTTTAAGATAACATAAACTGATTCGTGCATGTGCACCTTTAATAAGCTATTACTTTCTTCATAGATATCCAACCATCCCCAAGCACGCCATCCGCAGGTAAACGCATCTATTGTGGACGTCAGATGAAAAATTAAACCCATTTTTTACAGTGCTTCCAATTTTGATTCTACATATTTTAACCTTAATTCTATCGCTCTCTACTCACAGAAAAGTTTATATTTTGTTTCCAATCAAATTCTCCCATGAGAAATATCAATTTCACACAACAAGAACAACAGTCTAATTTTAGTTAAAACGTCCATGAGCAATAGTATTATAATCTAAATTAGCACTAAGGGAGCGGTCATAAAGTAAGTGCTACCCGGGGGCGGAGGATATTGGGATGGGGCATGAAATGAATTTATCACTTTAACGAGGGCCGGGGTATGAAATTAAATGTGTTTGTTTCAATGCAAATAATTAATACAGTTTATTATATATCGGCTCCGTTCATGGTCGAAATAATTTTTCATACATCACTGCCATCATTGTCTCATAAAAGATTTGACCATTGCTCAAGTAGTCTCCCCTGCAGTTGCTCTTTGTGTTGTGATTTTATTTATGACGGGGGTATGAACCATATGACGGGGGCAGAGTGACGGGGATATGAAACAATATTGTCCACAAAATTAAAAACATTCTCCGCCCCGGGGTAGCACTTACTTTATGACCGCTGCTTACTTTATTAACCAATCAAAAGCAAGATCAAATTTTTTGTCCGATAGACCAATCAGGTGAAAAACCTAATTTTAGCTTTTTTACATGCAGGCAGCCAACGGGACCCTCCCGTTCATTCACTTACATTTGAGGAAAGGAAAACATTATCAGATATTCAGGCCAAATTTGACTATTGTATATACGCTTGGAGGATGGCCAACACAAGGACGAAAGCAATCAACACAATGAAATTCATGAATGTCACGAAAGAAACGAATATTTGAAAATTTAGGAGACATTTCAAAGCTCTGTTGAAAAGACTTTAGCTTTAAAAAGAACTAGCTATTATGTTAGGGATAGAGGAATCGTATTTTATACCTATATACTGTAAGCAAGAATAGAATCCAAAGCCTGCATTGTTACGATTCTATATTTTCAATAATTTCCATTTTAGGTGAAGATATGAACGTGGTGGCAATAGCATTACCAATCCCTGTGCTCGTAGCGGCTATTGTCGCGGGAGTAATATAATATTTTTTGTTTTTCGGAAAAAAATGGCAAAAGAGCAGGAACGGAAAACCCAGCAAGATTTCGTGGTATGTTACTTTCATAATTATGGCCTATAAAATAAACCAATTTGTAGCTTCCACTGCGCACCTAAATGCCGCTTTCTGTGTCGGAATAAATTAAAGTTGAACTAGAACATGTAGCTGAGAATATAATAATAATAATATTCAATCATATATAGCTATAGCGCCATTTCTTCTGGTAAACCAATGGCAGCTTACACTATTTACATTTAATCGACATTTTCCACTTTGGTCTAGTATATTTAATTATTAGTATTATAGTTTTTCATAAGATCTACTGCATGTATACGCACCTCTAAATAAAAATGTGTTTAGTTTTTTTGAAGTAGTCACTGTAGTTGTACAAGTTATCTTCTTAATCTCTTCTGGCAGTCAATTCCATAAGATCGGTGCAGCAACAGAGAAAGCTTTTCTTCCATATCTCTCGAGATTAAAATTTGGTACAGTCAAAAGTCCTCTCAATTAGTTGATCTTAAAAGTCTGTTGGGTTGAGGCAGAGTAAAAATATACCATAGGTACCTTGGTCATGCTGTTCCATTTAGCACCTTGAACGTAAGTACTGAGGTCTTGAAATCAATTCTCTCGTTGACTGGAAGCCAATGGTATATATAGGTGTTATATGTACATGTTTTCCAGTACACGTACTATACAGTAAGAAGACGAGCCGCAGCATTTTGTACATATTGTATTTCTTTATTTGCATTGTGGCAAACCATTCCAAAGCGAATTGCAATAATCCAATGTCGTCGTCACAAAAGCATGAATATATTTGTCACAATGTTGGTGTGACAAAAGCTTTTTTACTGATGCTATATGGAAGAAAGCAAATGGCATTCACCTGCTTGCTCATCTAGACATAGTGTGATCAAACCACACTCCAATGCTCTTAGCCGATCAAGACGATGCAGTCAGTTCCGTGCCGGAGTAAATACTCTGTAATAGAGGTAACGGTCGATGTGAGGTTTGTATTACAAGTAATTCACTTTTACCGTTATTAAGTCTGAGCTTGTTAGTATTAATCCAGTAAATTATGTCTCAAGCGCATGCTTCAATGGTGAATTTCGGATCTTCAGCAGTTTCATTAATCAGTGGTTTAAACATCATATATATCTGACCATCATCTGCATAAAAGCGGTAACACAATTTATGACGTCTGATAACTTCGACAAGGGCCTAGGGACGCCGTATAATAAGTAAAGAATGCTGTAGAACACCACAGCTCAGTTTATGATGGTGGAAAAAATCATTATCTATTTGCACAAATTGAGTTCTCTCCGATATGTATGATCTAAACCACGTATAAAAGCCTTTCCTTTTATTCCAAAGACAGTACTTAGACGTTTGAGTAATGACCACGTGTCGAAAGCTGTGGAGAGATCTAGTAATAACAGAACCATATAACCACCATCATCAATTCTACGTAAGACAGTGCCTTTTTTAAGGAATTTTCACTGGGGGGGGGGGGAC